CACATCATGTTGTGGTCTGATTTCCTTTATAGTAGGTTTTTCGTATGCTCATTCCAATTTATGTTTCTAAATTTACTGCTCAAACACTCTTGACAGTTTGTGTTTTCTTTCATCTCTGGAACTTCTTACTAAATCTTCTTTTTTGGTGCAGCTTGAACTTTGTTTCTATAATTACTTAAAATGATGTGGGAACTTAAAAGGTGCAGCGTGAACTTTGTTTCTATAATTAAAAAGCTTTGCATCCCAGGTCTTGAATCTTTAGTATTTGAGAATCAAATGATTGCATTTGAATATATGTGGCTCATGGGCCATCATATCTGTAGACGTGCCTTTGCCGTAAGACAATATTTAGTTGATTCATCTTTCCTCCCTAACAAACATAATACAAGCCAATTGTTTCATGTCTCCTTGACCTGAAACATGCAAATAAAACATGTTTGCTGGACCACATTTCTGACTTTGCATAATGTAAGTTACGTTGGAGAGCTCTTTAGTCTTAACACAGAAAACAAGTAACATAACAGAACATAAGAAATCTATGCAATAGAAACAATTTGCTAAAAAAATATAGTAAAAATTGCTTGTGGCTGCTGCCACAGTTATCAATCGTTTATGATGGAACCGCTTCTCCATCACATAACAGGTGACTATAGACATGGATAAGACACCCCAGGCAGACTCTGTACATATCCTATTAAAAACTAGTAGAAGAGGAGGCGTGCATTTAGAACGGTGTGTGAGACAATATGTGTCAATCAAGTTTTAGTTCATAAATTGGGTTCTTAGATTGAGCTAGTGGCTATGCATTGCATCATGAATAGTAGATGTTCTTGTTATGTGCTAAACACACGCATGTAAAGAACATTGCCCGTTGAAACAAATTTTATATTCAGCATTTAGCAACTTCCATGCTGTTCTGTATATGCTGTCTAATTCTATTTATTTTCTTCAAATGTAGAACTCAAGCCAGCTGATACTTAGATCGCTTGTCTTTCGGTGCTATTGGTGTCTGCTTGCTTTTGTAGGAGTGTAGTTCACTTTAGTACTGCTGCCAACTTTCTATTGTGTAGCTAGCTAGTAACTTCAGTTTACTTTTCTTGCAGAATCTGTTTCATGAGGTTGACTTGATGCTCTCCAATGGTGCACTCGTTGCACCCTCTACTCTCTCCTTGTCTATAAACCAATTAATTAGCTAGATAAATCAAATTGATTGATATTTACCTCTCTTGGGCCCGGATGATTGATGATGAATGATGTTAGGGCTCGAAAGCAGCTAGAGGCTCACGGAGAATTTCAGTGGTTTTTCTAGCATAACTTGATCCCACACCATCAACAATATCTTCAAATGGCTCAGTACTGCTAGTAGGGATGGCCCGTTAGAGATTGGAGGATGGGGTGCCGCAGGTTTTGATGCCCAAAAAATCTGGATTACTATCAATTTACAGGTCGTTAAATCAACCTGATAAATTATTTTTTTAATAAAACCATGTCTTTTTGTTTCTGTAAAAAAATTTGTGGGTGTTAACTTAGTTAAGTTTGATTGAGTCCACTAAATCACATGCAACAATATCTTTTCTATTTCAAATTAAAACTTGTTCTGCATTAGGTTCTGGGTTTCTAGTTTCCTCAGTCAATGTGCTTGTTTCTGGATTAGGTTCTAGGTTTCTAGTTTTCATAATCAACTTGCATGTTGTTCAGACGAGTTTAATAACTATGATATCAACTTCTGAATGCTCTGATCCTCAATTTTTTTCTACATGAGTGAAAAAGGCTTATATTTGTAGATTTCAATGACTGTTGCATATCTAATGTCACAAGAACGAAGGTCTTTAGCCACCATGCAAAGGTCATGGATACTTTGTTATAAATTACTATGACTATCTTTATTTCACTTTGCAATTACTTTTTTAAAAATTATAGCAGGTTATATTTTATATCTTTAGAAGTTGCTGAAAAAAATATCTATTTATTTATAAGGCTGTCGAAATATTTCAAATAATGACCAAATAGCTTCTAAAATCTAAAAATAACAAAAAAGTTATATTTACAAGAACACTGGGTCTGGTCAAATAAAAAATGAGAGGACATGAAGAAAAGTCGTCAGGATCAAAGGGCAAAAGAACACGCTATATTCAGAGAAAACACTAGCCAAAAAGATCCCAAGGATTGCAAGCTGCATGCCACAGCCCCTGCAGCTGGAGTCTTCTCTCCATCCTCCCCGGGATATTTCACCGGAAAACAAATAATTCATAACAATCCATGAGGACTGAACATCAATCTAGCTATTCATACATCAATCTAGCTATTCATTTGTTATAGTTGGACAAATAAATTAATTAAGAGCGGCAAGGAACTCGATATCCTTCACTGTACAGAAACCAACAGGGCAATTTTTACTCTCCAAAACATGTTTGAAAGTCTGAAATTTATTGATTGAACAAAAAAAATCAAATTGTTTAGAGCTATTATACCTTTGGGAATCTCATTTTCAATAAGAGAATGTGACAGATAAGAAAAAATTTTGTTTGATTTTGTATAAAATGATGGATTTGTTTTTGATTTCTTCTTTTTGGATTTGTGTTTGATAGAAAATGTGACGGAGAGAGCGCGAGAGAGAAGAGAAGGTAAGGTTGAAAAGAAAAAATGAGCAGTATAGTAATGATTACATTCTAATCGCATTATATTCATTTCATTAAATTTTAAAATCTACTTTACATCAAGGTGTAGTTTTTGAAAAACTAGTTGCAAAGCGAAATAAAAACCAAATAAGAGGATGGCGATGATAATTTTTCCTTCTTATAACATTGATTATCATGGCTATGCTTCCATTTCTAGCAGTCGATGCTCAACTAGATTATAAAGCAGCTCTAGCTTCAACGTTGAGAGAAAGGACTGCAATTTCGATAGAAGAAGGATTCCAGAGGTTTGTGCCAAGGCTTTGCTTTGATCAAAATTCTCACATCCAGGGACTCTTGTCCATTCTTGTTTGTATCACCAATTTCACATCCAAAATTGATCATCTCGCCTGATTTAGTTTCCACTTTGCATCTTGTAGCATGGCCATGTACCTCGTCTGCATTATATCGATATTGTCATAACCAGTTGAAATCCCATGGCTGAACTGCCATTGCTCACAGTGGGATTCTATGAAACCATACCCGCATCTAACCACACAAAGCAAGTTTCAGAGAATCAATTGGCGGGTCAGTTTTTAGTCATCAATATGTTCCTCAGAGTTCAAGATTTGTGTTAATTTCGACTGTTCCTCTTGCGCGTCTGTGCGACCAGCAGGAGAGCCCGAAGTTATTTCCCGGACTAGTGAGAGGAATGAGCCTTTCTGTTGAATCTTCAAAAATGAAAAGACAAGTGATTCAGCTGACTTGTCATGTAACCAATACAAATAGAGAATTTGTCTCTCATAAGAACTTGCCTTGATTGCCAGCTCCGTTATGATATCATGCATCTGGTTGGCTGCATCTTTCTTTAGCTGAATAAAGGGATCCGTTCGTCTTACAGAACTTGATCCTCTTCTCTGATTTGCTGTCCGTGTCACCGAATCTATTTCAGATAATAGCTTCTTGTGTAAAGCATCATATATTAAATAAGCCTTACAACCCTGTGCATGGGCTTTACTGTCGTCGCTACCCTCCAGGCAGATTAATAGTTTCACATATCTAGATTCTGATGCAAGGATGTGATCAATTAGAACGCAGGCGGGACATTTGAGATAGATGGAAATGGTAACACATAAGGTAATTGTTAATGAGATTATACACCAAACCGGAAATGGATACATATCCGCTCCTGGCTTACTGTATTCTCCAAGCCAAGTATCGAAAATGGACGAGGCTTCGAAATAGTAACGCTGAGGATTTGACTCCCCTTCAAAATGTAGAGCAGGAAGTGTGATTTAATCAATATATTCCTTTAGCATATTGATTAAATCAGGGGTAAAAAGAAGATAATGCGAAAGCAAAGGCAAACCTCTTCTGAATGCAACCTCCCCCAGGGAAGACAGTACGTTTCCTTTCAGCAAGTAGTTGTCTATTCGATATTCCATAAGCGACCATGCATGCAAGATTTAGTTCTCCCTTTGCAACCTCTGGAATTCTTACGTAATTCTCCTCCATTACTCCTTTGATCATGAACAAGAACATAAACCTAAGGAGTTGGTTTTTCCAGACAAATTTGACATAACCAGAGGAGTTGTGCTAATTCTTTTAATGGAAAAATCTACCTAACTGAACTTCAATAGCCACAAAATGTAAGCTGATGAGACATCATGCACTTTCTAACAAAATTCTATGATAGTTTTGGAATATGCAAGGACTCTTCATCCCTCTCTGTCAAATTACATTCAATTAATACTTCAGAATTCATTAATTTTATACACAGAGGGCTTTTTCTGCATCCGCCTCTCTAATGAAAATCTGATAGAAACTTAAAAAATTTGTGGGTGCTATAACCAGAGAGAGCAGTACTAAAACTTGATGTCCAGATTCTATAATAAGAGATCATGGACTTGGATCAATTTTAGAACCAGAAAAACGGATTACTAAAGCAAGCAAGCGCACTTATGCGTGTGTGTTTTAATACATTGATCATGAGAAGGTAAGAATTAAATGATATTTTCAAGGGCAAGTACTAACCTCTATATGTCCCGAAAGCTTTACTAGGAAATGGAAGTACTGAACCTTCATAGTAATCAACTTCCTTTGGTACAAGAGCCATCGGATCATTTACCGGAACTGGAACTTGTCACAGCAAGGAAAGGCCATGGCTATAGCTGGTAATGGCGCATTCTAAAGAAGATTCACCATGAATTTGAATGCTGAATAAAGAAGGGTTAAATATAAAAGAACTCATAAAGGAAGGCATAAAGAAACCTCAAGAGTAACGAGAAGCACAAAGAAAAGAAACCTTACCTGGCATCACGAGCATCCCTGAAGCAACTACCAGCATCAGAATAGTTGCCTTGAGTGAAGAATAGTGATCCTAGCTCCACGCGACGGGTGAGATCTCGATCAGAATAACCTCTTACACTGTTATTTCCATCCATGCTTGAAGCGCAGAATATGAAATAAAGAAACTAGTACAAATTTTCTTGAAAGAGCAACGAAGAGAGAAAGAAAGCAGATATCTCAGTATGATGGATGGGCAAGGAAGGTTATTCGTTATAGAGAGGGTTCTGGGCGGGAAGAATCTTTGGCTGTTAGTAACGTTTAAGCAGGCAGGAACACTAGCTTGATAATCCTTAATTGCTGGCCAGCCGTG